AGCAACACCGAGGGTTGCAATCCCGTTGCCGGTCCCCGGTCCGGTGTGGGGGCAACACTGAAAGTTGCGATCCGTTGCCGGACACGGAAAAAGACAAAAAAGACAAAAAAAAAAAAAAAAAAAACTATATTTCCTATTAAGACATCTATATACTTTGATAATCAACTGAATGAGGACTAAGCCTGTCCCTATTTTATAAAATTAAGGAATCCAGGTTGTGTTCCTGAGTACAAGAGAACACTTCTACATGGAGAAGCCGTGGGCAGACACACCACTGCTAAACACATTCACGATTAATTCACTTTAATCCGACTATACAAGTCTGTGGCAGCTTAAAGATTCATTATTCTATTGAGGCCCAATTAAATGCCCTCTCACACAGTTCTAATTTTGTTTTTATTCCTAGATGACCACAACACTACAATTAAACTTGTGCCAACACTGTAAATGAGGAATGCCTGTCACCTGTGTGGTTGAACACTGCCTTGCACTGCCCTACCCAGCAGTGTCCAATGAAACTAAAGGAGACATATAAACAAACATGCTCAGACAAATGACACTACTGACTGCAGGCGTAAAGTCCTTACGTAACAACCATAAATTATTGCAAATTGCTTTACTTCAAGAGACTTCGGCATAGGGAATGCTTCTTATAGTCATCTGATAAGGAAAGTTTCATCATCTGACGAGGCAAGCAGGTGTTTGCAAAGAAGATAAGAGATTTTTAGAAAAAAAAATCAACAGTGGTTAAGGCACATGTGCACTCCCCTCCTAAGTAGAAAGTCAAGGTATTTGCCAAACTGAGAACTAACCCACTGCTAGAGAACCCCTTGTTCACTCTGGAATTAAGACCTTACTCCAAGAAAAGTTTTATGTTAAACTGACATATGCCAGGTTAGATGGGAGCTACCCTACTAATTTGATACCTTAAAACTTAAACATGGAAGAATGATGCAAAAAAATGTAAAAAGCAGAAGTCTTCCAAGACCTGCCTGAAACACTGCAGCTCCTCCACGAGGAGGGACCAGGGCACGAGGTCAGACAGAGAAATGGAGCTGCCAATCACTTATGAGAAACATCCCGACACCGTTAACAATCCATGAAGCCTCCTCCCTTCAGGGTCCTAACTGCAACTTGGACATTATGAACAGACAGGCTTCTACAAAGGTAATGGCTGCTTTTTAGTGTTAAAATATCTACATTTCTAAAAACCACAGCTGGTTACATCTTTTTGTTGGATAGAAAACCCATATGGAAAGGACAGAAGAGAACTTCAGGATAGTGATTACCTCTGGGAAAGCAGGAAGGAGAAAAGGACTGGAGAGAAGGGGGTGGTTAGCTGGATCTGTCTAAAATAACAAAGGCTGAATGAAGCAAATATGTTAAAATGTTAACAATTGTTCAATCTGGGTGGTGGGTATACAGAACTCTATTACTTTTACTTATTTTAAAATTTTTCTGTATGTTTGAAGTACTTCATAATAAAAAAAGTAAAGTAATATTTAAGTGAAAAGGTGACACAAAAGGCACAAAGAAAACGCAGGCTGGTGCTTAAGCAATGCTAACTGGCAAAGTCCAATCACGCTGCTTTGATATAATTGAATTGCCAAGCAACACAATAAATACACACAAGCCTCCTGGGAACACTCAAATCCAAGATAATACACACGAAGTTAGAATCTACTTTATAATTTTACATTTCATTACAAGATAGTTCTTTGATATCAATCTTGCCAACAAAAGCACATTGGTACATTTATCCTGTCAAATAAAAATGCATGCCCATATTTGTAGCTGTACTGAAGGATAGGCACTATTATTTAATCACATGTGTATTTGTTCATCTAAATGAAAGCCAAAGTCCAGGAGGTGTAAATATGGCAGCCTGATTTTTAGTGCTAAAGCTAAGTTGGATCAGAGTGATACAAGAGTCCACATTTCTTTTTAGTGTTCAGAGACCAACAGCAGGATTTAGGCCTGTGCTAACGAAAGCAGCTGCTGCTCCAGAGAGAAAACAAAAACTCCCCAGTCGTCTGCTCCTGGATCCCATACCAAATGGTCCATACCAACAACTGAATGACAGATATTTAAAGCTGAAATGATAAAATGGACCTTGATATCAGTTTTTCCAGGTATCTGTTTTGGTATACACATATCATGAAATCATGAGGTAGGGAATAAAGGTGCAAATATACAAGTTCCATGGATAGGTGTTACCCCCTCACCACACACAAAAATCATAAAAATATCACAGGAGTTGCAAACTGTTGGCACAGGAGCCAAGTCTGACCCACGGATATTTTCTTGAACTCACACAACATTTTTTTAAAAACTTGAATTAGGATAACATTCATAAAAGTCTGAATTTCTGTATTCTCCTTTTTAAATATCAGAAGATCTGGCAACACTGAGCCCTCATACTTACCTGGTTTGAGCTAAGTCGTAGCTGTTCTATTTGTATAAGACCTGCTCACTGCAGTCCCCACAACTCCCTACAGCCACACACACCAGCAGCACTTATTCATACTACTTTCTCTGCCACTGTTGGCATAAAACTAAAGGTGGCACACCTTGGAGGTATTAGAAATGAACAGATTCTCCTTAGAACAAAATAAGAGTTTGGTTTCTAGAATTTTGAATTCCAATACAAAGAATTGGAGAGGAGGTAGAGTCTGAACCAGAAGTTGTCCCCCAACATTAACAAACTCATAACCCCATGGTCCTAGTTATTCAGCACCAACATACACAACTTCTTTTCTTACACTGGGGGTTCCCTAAAAATATGAGATTCCTAGCTCTGAACAATGCTTGTTGCAGTTTCAGAGAGAATCACTCTGCTCCTATATTGCTTTTTTTTTTTGGAAGCTGGCCAGCATGGAGCAATACTGCTTACGGACTCATGGAAGTGTACTGGCTTGTTTTTGATGAAATGCTCCCACCACCCAAGCCAGCAATGGGAATTCCTTTCTACTAGTACATGCATCTTATGCTGCACCAAAACTTTTACCAAGTAAATAGTGTCACACTGTGATATTATGTAAGCCAGGAGGAAAAGAAATTATGGCTAAAAAACAGAAAATGTTTAATGTTGAGAGGAGAAATTACTCATCAACACAAACATTAAGTGCCAGACGTATGCACACAAAAGATGCACAAAGGGAGATGGAACGAAATGCCATTCATTAATCAACTTCAAGAAAACATAAATGTGTCTATACCAAATGAAATTTCCAAGGAAGAACTGTAATAAGCTTCCTGTTGTGCATAGATATACACACACACATAAATACACACACATGCATATATATGTGTATACGGCCATAATTATGATAAAGTTCAGTACATATTAAAGTACCACTACATATACACTACCTATAAAAACATAAAAAAGATACTGAGTAGGAAGAGTTTCCAGAGCCCATAGTACATTAGGTTTGGATATTTTTATCAAAACCTAATTTTCCTGATCAGAAGACTCAAAGTTCATGTTCTCATTGGTGCCCGCAGATTTCAAGGAACATTTCACA